TTTATCAGCTGACAAAATGCGTTGTGATGTAATATTGTTAAAGTCTCTAAGACCATTATTGGCTAATTGATAGATTCTTTGTTATAGACGGCTCAAATGCTGAGGGGATTGTGTTTTGGAAGGTCCAAATACTTCTAGTACCTATGTTTAAAAGTCGTAAAAAAATAGAACAAGGGTTTAGGTTGTAAACGTAAAGTAGTGATCTCCATGACAGCGAAGATTTGGGATCAGCCTCTTAAGATTAAGATTAGATTCGAATTATAGAAAAAAAAACTAGTGCCATATTAAATCATACTTAAACTGAAATTTGCGCTTTTGTAACTTGCTTAAACGCAAGAGCTGCTCATTTTTAAAGTCGAAATACAACGTTTTCCACTTTTTTATGTAACGAAAATCGGTGTGATCAAATACATCCACTGCGTAATTTACCGGATAAAGATTTGTGAAAATAATCTCGAGCCTACGAACATTTGTCCCTATCAAATCATTACCTCGACACTATTACTACATTGTATTATCTTTGTGCAATTAAATGCTGCAACAGAATAACACGAAGCCTTGGTAGATTACCTAAACTATGTATGTTTTCTCAGTTCAGTTTTGGGTAAATGAAGACTTCCTTTGCGTCAGATTGATGGCAAAGAAAGGGGAGAGTTTAAGGAATGCTGAGAAAACTACGGTAAAACCCATTCTACTCTTCGAGGCTCCACTTCAAAAAAAAACCGTGTTCACAATAGGAGAATTATGCACGCGTGACTCAACTCATTCAGTTTTTTATAGTTGTCTGTACAAACGATTAAACGCTCAGTAATTTGTAAAAAGTAAACTTTAACACCTCTTAAGTAATTAGCTGCCGTGCTCTGGAACCAATTGTGATTTTTCGGGCCAATAAACTTGTCCTCATTTCACTATGGTAATTACCTCAGTGTGTTGAAGGACTTGAAAGAATTTTTCAAAGGTAGCGTGTGTAAAATGCCGGTAGGATTTCATATTGATTGTGATTTTTCTGAAAAGATTTCTTTGATCCAAATTCTGGTTTTTAGGTTATGGCTATCTTGAGAGACAACAACGCTGTCTTTCAAAGAAAAAACTTTGGCTTGACAAGTAGTGGTGATTCCCTTCAAAAGCACTTCGCACCTCTTTCGTACTCGCACTTCAAACTAAAAATTGATAATGGTCTAGACCCTCGAACGTTATTTTTGTTAAAGCCTGTTTAATTTCTGTTTTTAGAATTGTGTAAATAATTTTCAAGTGCTATCGGGGAAACAATTAAGTTCCAAGTACTCTTATACATTCTCCAAGACAGTGAAGAATTCTAAAATTATATCGAGAAAAGAGAAGGAAGACGAAAAGGAAACGGGATAGCCACTTGCAACCCATTCTAATATTTGAATGTTTGTAAAGGCGTAAACTTCAATTCACTGTGGAGGAAGTGGAAATGGAACTTTTGGTAAAACGATATACAGTGATACTGTTGGAAGTGCGACCTTTTTAAAAACCAGTTAACATTAGACATTACCTTTTTTGCGTTAAGAGTCTCACAAGGAATGCGATATGCTTAAAGCACAGTCTTTCATGGGGACTAAATCGCAATAGTATCGAAAAAATCTAGCTTCTTTTTTCGCGTGTACAGCAATTTATTATATTTAAGCTTTTCTTCGGAATTTGCTCACGGATTTATTCTTTTATCCTTTGCTGCAGTAAAATTTTAGGTTTCGTTGCAGCTGATTGTTAAAACCTTGAGAAGGCAAAAACGAAAGAATTATGAGTGCATCAGAAATTTGCAGTGTGACTATATTGAGAGACATAAGTGATCGTATTGGACTTCTTCGCTGTAGCTTAACATTTTTAGGGTAAATCAAATTCATTATATTCGAAGAAAATAAAAATACGCAATATGACGCAGTGGACCTAAGACGTGACATAAAAAACTCGAATTTGCTCCTTCTCCTTCTAAGCATCTCCTCTGCATCTGAACGTTCCTCAAAGGGAAAAAAGTCTTGAATTTTCAATTTGGGTTTAGTTAATTTCTGACTCAGCACGTAGAGCAAAATACATATAAGCGTAGAATATTGATACAATTTTTTTCATTTTTAGGCAAGTAACAAGAACAAATCGCTAGGCTGCTAACATAACTGATCTGATCACAGCTCTTGTATATGCAAATACCATTCCCCTTAAACTAAGCACATTTGAAGAAAATTGAAAGCATTTATTACAGAAGATAACATCATTTCTAAAGGCTTGAATAAACGCTAACTCATGGGTCTTGCTGAATTAATCGGTGTATGAAACGTTCGAGCATTACTTGCAGTTCTATTTGTGATGCTCAAAAAATACTCAGAATCTTCTAGCTTTGCAGTTCATTCTCTTTTCACTTTGAGAAAACACTTGTATTATATTCACTGGAAGCAACTGATAAAAAAAGCTTATCTCAAAGACCGGGAGGAACAGGCTCTTTAGCTTAGAATTAGCTTTAATGCTTACTTTTTAGTGATCATCTTCTGTATTTGGAATTGAACTCATCAACTTTTGCCCTCTAATTACATTATGACTCTACACCTAGACAAACTTACTACTGTTTTTATTGCATTTAAATGCAACATAGTCTCAAGAGAATTGAAGGAACATGTAAATTTCCGTCTGTGTTTTTAATTACTAGGGTCTATCATCTTTCCCAGCAAGAGAATTTATTTAGCTTTCGAAAGTTCTGAGTATGAAAGGTTTATCGCAATACAAAGGCATGCTGATGTCCTTTGCATCTTGAACTATCCGACGGTTTGCTAAGTGTTAATACCGCTCAAGGTCGTCGCTGTGATGTAGCCGCTTTGCCAGCATTTTCTCACATAAAAGGGTCCTTAAATTCTGCACAAGAGAGAAGTTTTACTGTGGCACGTTACAGGCATGTTTGTATCACTCGGCAAAACATGCAAGATTCAACAGAGGGGAGATTGAATTCCTTGGTAAACGAGGGATGTTTCAGAAAGGGAAGTTTTGGGGAATTCGAAAGCGTAGAAGTAAGAACTCACTAGCTTATTCTTTAGAGATACTGCAAAAAAAGTAGGCTTAAAAGCGTCCTTCTCAAGTTAACAGTGAAATTTTCATAAAAGACAAAATGTTAGTACAAAAGATATATAACTATTCCTATCTGTTGTCCAGAAAATCGTGTTAAGGTATCTCCAGTCGGGCGCGATCAGTACGTAGTGTCCTTCACTGTAAATCAATCCTCTGTTGATGTCAAATGGGGTTTGTACATGTCTTCGGCTCCCTACGATATGGCTATGATCACGGGAAACTGCAAAAGAGCCAGAAAGAGTCCTTGCCTCATGAGGAATCTTCCGCTCGAGGAAAAAACCGTAACCGCTTGGCAAATCATTGGTCACACTGTTGTAATAAGCAGTGGAATGGATGTTGGTCTATATCATGATCAAACTTTTACTCACATGTGCTGAAAACTAATTTCATTTTAGACAGTCGCCTGCGCCACTGTTATTTTGCCTGGACTACCCCTGATGCGAGCTTCTTTTCATACCCCTCCAGTCGAAGGGCATATCCACGTTATTCCATTCCTGAATATGGTATGCTTGAAAGTATTCATTTGGTAAGAGATGTCATTGCCTGGGAGTGGTAATACTTTAATTTCAGGTTCGAATATTGCCCGATTTGAAGTACTCTTCTGAATTTGAAAACGAAGAACCGCAGAAAGCCGTAATTGAATGGGCATTCACTAAATCTTGCGAAGGAAACATGACGGTTCCTGAAGATATGAATGGAAACGAGCTGGGTGTCGATTCCAGATCGACGATCACGATTGGTAGGTAATATGAAACCTTTCAAAATCCTTTTGATTTTGCTATTTGTGTCTAACCAAATCGTTATACTTCCTCAACTTCTAACTGGATGTTATGCTCTTCAGAAGTCACCAAAAGCT